CCACAGCACCACTTCTGGCTTTTTTCTTTTTGCTTATGTGGTGCTGAGGAATCGAACCCAGGGCCTCATGCATGCAAGGCAAGTGCTCTACCACTGAGCTACCTTCCCAGCCCGAGACTCTGATCTTAAACCACCAGAAAACTGGAAGTGGTGCTAGTTCAAGTGGTAGAGTGCTCGCCTTGAGCTGAAGAGCTCAGGGACAGCGCCTAGGCCCAGAGTTCAAGCCCCATGACCCACCCACCCCCCAAAAAAAAATGCAGTTTTGAAGATTCTCAGACCCCTTGAGGAAGGAAATGAAGGGTGACCACTGCCCTCTATGTGTCACGCGTGGAATTGCAGATGCATCCAACAATACCTAAATGTTCCTCTAAATCCATTGACATCATGGAAGGAAGGGACCCGAGCCTTACCAGGTGAAGTTCACCTCTCTAAGGATTTCTCTTAGTAGGAGCCAAGAGGATGGACAGAAGATGGAGACACACAGGCTGTTCCTGTGCTGTTTTAGTTATCCTCCCACAGCAGCTTTGTTACCTTTTTTTTTTTGGTCTTCATTGGTACTGGGGATCGAACCCACGACATTGCACTTGACAATGACAATCACTTTGCCACTGAGCTACATCCCAGCCCCCACACCAGCCTGAGCGTCCCCTTCTCCCGCTTCCCAGTCTCATCCATTTCCACTCCACTCAGGAGAAACCGAAAGTTTCCTGAGTCGGGTTGAGGTTTTGACAGTAAGCCACATGAGATTTTTGATAATCACAGCAACAGTGTGGTTTTAAAAAAAAAATCATGAAAAAAATTCACTAAGTCATCTCCAAACTGAAAGAAATTAATCCTATAGGTAGGACTGGGGGCATAACTCAATAGGTAGAGCACTTATTTGGCAAGTGTGAGGTTTTGACTATGAACCCCCACCAAAAGATACGTCAGAAAAGTCATCATGAGGGCTGGGAAGGTGGCTCCGTGGTAGAGTGCTTGCCCCATATGCATGAGGTTCTGGGTTCGATTCCTCAGCACAACATAAGCAGAAAAAGCTGGAAGTGGCACTGTGGCTCAAGTGGTAGAACACTAGTCTTGAGCTGAAGAGCTGAGGGACAGTGCCCAGGCCCAGCAAAAAAAAAGAAGAAAAGGCCTATGAGACTCATCTCCATTTCCAGTTCATCTCCAATTAGCCACTCAAAAACCAGAAGTAGTGCTGTGGCTCAAAGTGGCAGAACACATACCTTGAGCAAAAAGCTCAGGGACAGTGCCCAGGTCCTGAGTTCAAGCCCCACAACCAATAACAAAAGATGAGCTGTTACAGATAGGTCATAGGCATGGTGGTACATGCCTTTAATCCCAGCACTCAGGAGGATAGGCAGGGAGATCCCAAGTACAGGGGCAATCTGGGCTACCTAACAGGAAACAGTGATGTGGATCCTGAGAGGTCAGGCAGGAGGCGGGTGCGCTGAGGGGTGATCATGAGACAGGTGAGGTTAGCGCAACGTCTGCAGTAAAAGGCAGAGAATTCTGAAGGAAGAGGGGAATCCAGATAGCATGAGTTAAAGAAGCAGCTGGGAGTCCAGGTGGGCCAAGCTAGGTGGCCTGGCAGGGGCAGAGCACTGGAGGGGAGAGAGCACTGTTCAGGGAGGAGGAGGAGTCCTCTTGAGTCTTCACTTGGGAACTAAGTAGTGATGGCACAAGCATTCAAGGAACTCCCAGAGCCTGGGGAAAGCAGCACCCCCAAAACAGCACGGAAGGTGATCATCCGAGCTCACACAGGCCAGCCGCAGTCATGGAGTTCCACCAACCACAGCAAAAATGGCCTCATGCAAAGCCATGGGGTGAAATATTCTCAGAGGGAAAATTAGCTCCACACCAAAGGATGCTCTGGTGCTGCCTCCCATGATGCACCTCAAAAGCTCCCATTCCCAGCCAGAGCAATCCTGCTGCCTTGCCCAATGCCTAGGACCAGGTGCCAGGTGGAAAAACTCCCATGAGACAATGATCTCTAATTAACCAGCAAATGGCCACAGGTGGCAGTGTGGCTCAAGCGATAGAATGCCGGACTCTAAGCAAAAAATTCCAAGTGAGGGCAGGTGCCAGGGGCTCACATCTGTAATCCTAGATACTCAGGAGGCTGAGATCTGAGGCTCACAGTTCAAAGCCAGCCAAGCAGGAAAGTCTGAGAGACTCTTACCTCTAATTAACCACCCAAAAGTTGGGCATGGAACTGTGGCTCAAGTATTACAGTGGTAGCCTTGAGCAAAAAAAGTTTAGGAGCCAGGCTCCAGTGGCTCATGTCTGTAATCCTAGCTACTTGGGAGACTGAGATCAGGACAAGCCAGCCTGGGTAGGAAAGTCCATGAGACTGTTAACGCCAATAAACCACTAGAAAACTGGAAGTGGTGCTGTGGCGCAAGCGATAGAACCCTTGCCTTGAGCTGAAGAGCTGAGGGACAGCGCTCAGGCCCAGAGTTCAAGCCCCAGGACCAGCACAGAAAGAAAAGAAAAACAATAACAAATAAATTCCACCCACCATGATGGGGTTCACATGAAAGATGAGGAGCTACTTGCAGGGTGACAGATCCAAGCATGGAGAAGGTCGCCCTTTCCTACCTTACCTCCTATGATCTGCTACACAGGATTTCTACATAGCATAAAATCCCTTCACAGCAAGTGAATGTCATTTCAAAGGAAATTTGTTTGATCAGAGGGTTCTAAGCCCCATGGAGGATGTCCTCATCAAACACCTACGTGACAAGCCAAAATTCCAGCAAGACCTACCCAGACACAAGTCCAACCTGACACCACGTGTCCCGGGGGCAGTTACAATGGTGGTGGAAGACAGGAGGGCAGAGAAGGACAGAAAGTTTTGTTCCCTTAATACCGAGGGCCCTATTTCCTCCAGGAATACTTGGCTTGTATCCACAGAAACCATGGAGGACAACAGAAACCCAGGTCCCCAGACAGGCCCCAGAATGGCTTGGAGCCGATGTACAAAAGTCCATCATCTCCAGTACCGAGAAAAAGCCAGGGGCTTTGGGGATTCTCCTGGTGCAAAGCAGCAACTGCACGTGTGGCCACCACACGCACCCAGGGGACTCATGAACGTTTGCATCCTCCTCAGAAAGATGGGACCCCTGAGGATTCTCTTGTTCCAGCTTTTGTTTATTTCTAGATAATGAAGACAATCAACAAAACTTCCCAGATGTACTGTCCTGTGGGGCCGGTGGGCTGAGAGAGGAAGATTAAGAACATACAATGCTGCGATCTCAAGATTGCAGTTCAAAGCCAGCCAAGAGTCTGATCTCAGATTAAGGGGGTGGGGGGGAAGCGGTGGCAGAAGTGGAGGTATGGCTAAAGTGGTAGAGTGCTAGTCCTGAGCAGAAAAAGCCAAGCAAGAACGGAAGACCCTGAGTAGACCCCAGTAGTGGCACCAAAAATAAATCAAACAAAAACTCCATCGATTTGGAGAAGGAATCATTTGTTTCCCATCAAGCTCACCTACTTAATAGGCTCCTGGGGTATACTGGGCAGAACACGTGCCTTATATTTCAAAGTCCTGGATTTGATCCCTAGCACCAGAAAGAACAAGAAAAACATGGCCTAGACACTTCCCACCTTGCGGCTGGGGTCTGAACTGAGCACAATTTTGTGTAGTTTGCCAACCTCACTGCTACCCTCTAAACCAGGCAAGCTCAGCCTGAATTCAGCCTGACCTGCAACTTCACCAGGAAAGTCAAACCATCATTAGGGAGCCCTCCAGGCCCCTCCCGGCAGGACAGGCCTTCCTCTCCTCAGAGAGAAAGGAGGTTTCTCCACGGATGGTGCCCCAGGCCCTCGCTCTGAGCCTCCACTTTCTCCAGCTGACACCTTCTTTGCAGACACTCTTAAGCCGGTCTCTGCCAGGTCACAGTCGCTCCAGTCACCCACGGCAAGGCCCAGCCCCTCCCAGCACCCGAGCAGCTCAACTTTGACTGGCAGCCACGCCCCGGAAGTGCTGACTACGCCACGCCCCCCGGGAGGGCTGGCTACCTTCCCTCCACACACGCTCGCCCACCCCCCAGCCGCCTGCACACAGCTGCAGCGCTTCCGTGGTCTGAAAGCTGCAGGGTCGTCCTTCGGGGGAAACTGCCAAGGTTCACCTGTTTGCACCTCACCTGCCTTTCCTGAGATGGTGCTTGGTCCACGGCTTTCTAGAACTCAAGGGCCTGGCAAGAAAGTCCCAAGAGTTAATCATGGAATAGACTTCCCACAGAGTCACCACGTACAAAGGCGTGGGCAGCGATGGGACCTTTTGGGAAAGGCCGGGCTCTCAGGGACAAGAGCCAGTGGGAAGCCAGGAGCAGCTGTGGGTCTGAAGGGACCAACGGAGGGGCCATACTTCTAGAGCCCAGGAAAGTGGGAGCCCCCGCAGAGGGGCACCCCCAAGAGCTGCTTTGCTGAGGATGGGAGATGGGGTGGTAGGACCCTCTTCTTCCTCCTGCCTCTCTGATCTCCAAATGGGGCCCGTTGGCTCCACATCTGGAAGCCAGAGGGCCAAGGAGCTGAAGGGACAAGCAGAGTTTCTTTTCTGGACTCAGAAGGCAGAGTCCGAGGGGGGGGGGGGGAGCTAGGCTTCCTTCACTCCTCCACTAAGCCACAGTCCCAGCAAGAAGTAACTAAAGCAAACAATGGCTGGAGTTGTGGCTCAAGTGGTAGAGTGTCCGACTAGCAAGTGTGAGACCCTAAATTCAGTTCCCAGTCACACCAAAACCAATATATAAAACTTGAAATGTTTAGTGATTATGCTGAATAGAACACTCTCCTCAAGTATTTCTACGCTAGTCCTTGATTCTCCATTGTTAGTTTTTGTGTTTGTTTTGTCAATTATGGGGTGCTGTTCCTGAACTTTTTTGCTCAAGGCCAGCACTCTACCACTTTTGAGCCACAGCTCCACATCCAGCTTTTGAGTGGTTAATCAGAGATAAGAGTCTCATGGGGGACTTTTCTTCCCTGGGATGGCTTTGAACTATGATCCTCAGATCTTAGCCTCCTGAGTAGCTAGGATTAACGGTGTAAGCCACTTGTGCCAGGCTTGATTTTCCATCTTTAGACAGTATCAGTTTGCTTTGTATCATGAAAAGAAGCACAGATAGTTTATAGTCAGAGCTCAGATGATGGGAGCTATAAAACTCAGGCACTAGAGTTAAGGGAATACCAGAAAACCTCATGATCAAGATTGTTTATTATTTTATTGTATTATAAAATTAATGAAGGGCTAGGATGTAGCTCAGTGGCAAAGCACTTGCCTAGTAAATGCAATGTCCTGGGTTCAATCACCAGTACCAGATCACCAAGGCAGGAAATTCCCTGAGACTCTTATCTCCAATAAACTGGAAGTGGTATTGTGGCTGAAGTAGTAGAGTGCTAACCTTAATCTTAAGAGCACAGGGACAGCATCCAGGCCCAGAGTTCAAGCCCCATGACATAATAATAATAATAACAATAATTATGATGATGAAGAAGAAAGCTGGCTTACACCTGTAATCCTAGCTACTCAGGAGGCTGAGATCTGAGGATCACAGTTCAAAGCCAGCAGAGCAGGAAAGTCCATGAGACTCTTTTCTCCTATTAACCACCAGAGGGCTGGGAAGGTGGCTCAGTGGTAGAGCGCTTGCCTTGCGTGCCTGAGGCCCTGGGTTC